ACAAAATCAATCCCCACTGCAACCCTACCAGTATTTAATGTTGGCCATGTAGGTAGTGTGTCAAGTTTGGTGCAGATCCATTGTGGGCTGAGTTCAAAGTGTTCTTTGATTGTAGGTGAACTATAAATCCCAACAACTACAACTCCCAAATGACAAAATCACTCCCCCCTCTAACTCTACCTGTGCTAAATTTGGTCCAGTTAATGAAAATAGATCCCGTGTATTAGATGTTTACATTAGGATTCATAACAGTAGCAAAATTACAGTTATGAAGTAGCAATGAAAATAATGTTATGATTGGGGGTCATCACAACATGAGGAACTGTATTAAGGGGTTGTGGTATTAGGAAGGTAGAGAACCACTGATCTACACTGTAGGATTTGTGCAGTGTAACTGCCAGTGGTTTGGTGAAGTGCTTTGAGAACACCTTATGAAATGACAACTTTGATGGTCCCATTGCATAGAAGTTGAAGATGTGTCAAACTGCATTAATTCGATCATGTAGATGCAATCCAAGAGAATCCAACACTAGTACCGCTTGTGCCTTTGAATCCACTTCTCCATTTCCCACCACAACTCTTGCTTTGGAGATGAATGTGTTAATCTGGCTGGAGTTTCAATCTCAAGTTAAGAGAAAGGGCTGGGCTATGGGGAAGGCGGCTTCTTCCTGCGGCTGCCAGAAAGGCAGAGAAGGGAAGATTCAGGGAGACCACGGAATCCAAGCGTGGAGTCTGTTCAGAGCTGGTGGACCAGGTAAGAAGGTACATTGATTTGGGGACTTTGCAAAGTGGAAGCATTTGCATTTGCAAAGCTGGGGGCATTGAAGTGGAGAGACCACAGCATGGGCATTGCTAAATGGGGTGAGACATAAACAGAGTTGCAGAGGAGTCTTAGCAGTCCATCAAAGGTGATGTTTCTATGGGCAAAAGGGTATAGTTAGTGGACAGTGTGTGATTTTGTGGCATGACACACCAAAGGTTCGGAATGTGCATAGAAGTAATGTGAACCAAATGAGTACATAAAGGCAGCAGATCTGGTCTGTTCTTGGAAGCTAAGCAGGTTCAGCCCCGGTTAGAACTTGGATGGGAGACCACCAAGGGAATACCAAGTGCTGGAAGCTCAGTTTCAGAGGGAGGCACTGGCAACACTATCTCTGATCATAACTTCTTGCCTATGAAATTAATGGTAGGTAAAGGTTTTCCCCTGACATTAAGTCTAATCGTATCCAACTCTGAGGGTTGGTGCTCATCTCAGTTTCTAAGCCAAAGAGCTGGCATTGTCCATAGACATCTCCAAGGTCAAGTGGCCAGCATGACTGTATGGAGTGCAGTTACCTTCCTGCCAGAGCAGTACCTATTGATCTACTCACATTTTGCATATTTTTGAACTGTTGGGTTGGCAGAAGCTGGGGCTAACAGTGGGAACTCACCCCACTCCCCGGATTTGAACTGCCAACCTTTTGGTCAGCTATTTCAGCAGCTCAGCAGTTTAACCCACTGCACCACCAGGGGCTCCTTATGAAATTAACTGGGTTGCCATAAATTGGCTCAGGTGACTTGAAGGCTGCTCAGCAAAGGGTCTATTTTGACTTGATCTCTTTGAGATCTATCTATCTATCTATCTATCCATCCATCCATCCATCCATCCATCCATCCATCCATCTTTGCGTGTGTGTACATACAGAGACATATAGTACAATGGAATCAAAACCAAATGGGCTTATGCTGAGCGTAATGACTTGCTGAATGACTCTAGCAGCTTTGCTGATTTTTCAGGTAAATGAGTCACATAGCTATCACAGGAAGCCAAAATGTTGTTTGTGTATTTGTGTTTGGGTGTGCATTGTGGAAGGACTTGACCTTTGGTCTGTCTATCCCATTACTTCACTATACACTGATAAGTCTGTCTCAGGGCACATCTAAACTGCACAGTTACTGCAGTTTGACATCACTTTAGCTGCCATGGCTCAATGCTATGGAATTCTGGGAGTACCCACACTCTGGCAGGGAAGACTACGGGTCTTGTAACACTACATATCTCACAATTCTATAGCATTAAGTGACAACAGTTCCAAGTGTTGTCAAACTGGATTAATTCTTCAGTGTAGATGTACCTTGAGACAGACAAACTGCTGCAGAATATTTCAGAATTCCAGATAAGGGATGCTCAACCTGTATTAGCCATCCACTATTTTTCATGCTGTGAGTTTTCTGGGCTGTATGGCCATGTTCCAGAAGCATTCTCTCCTGACGTTTCACTACATCTATGGCAGGCATCCTCAGAGGTTGTGGGGTCTGTTGGAAACTAAGCAAGTGGGATGTATATATCTGTGGAATAATGTCCAGGGTGGGAGAAAGAACTCTTGTCTGTTTGAGGCAAGTGTGAACATTGCAATTGGCCACCTTGACTAGCATTTAATAGCCTTGTAGCTTCAAAGCTTGGCTGATTGCTGCCTGGCGGGATCCTTTGCTGGGAAATGATTAGTTGGCCCTGATTGTTTCTTGTCTGGAATTCCCCTGTTCTTTGAGTATTGGTTTTTATTTACCGTCCTGATTTTAGGGTTTTTCAATATTGGTAGCCAGATTTTGTTCCTTTTCATGGTTTACTCCTTTCTGTTGAATTTGTTCACATGCTTGCAAATTTCAATAGCTTTTTATTTATTTACTCTATTTGTATACTGCCTTTCCCTACCCTGAAGGCAACTCAAAGCAGCTTTATGTATGGTAACTATTCAATACCTTTGAACAAGTTAAAATACATTTAAGTTAAAAAAATTAAAAATTAGATGCACATTAAAACGTAAAAAACATTGCAATCACTATTAAAATCACATCATCCACAATCGTAATCTGGGTTGTTCCAAAGTCATTGCACATAATTCCGTAGCTATTATTGCACTATAGTTAATCTCCAAAGGCTTGACCCTAGAGCAGTGGGTCTCAACCTTCCTAATGCCGCGATCCCTTAACACAGTTCCTCATTTTGTGGCGATCCCCAACCTTAAAATAATTTTCATTGCTACTTCATAACTGTCATTTTGCTACTTTTATGAATCATAATGTAGATATCTGATATGCAGGATGTATTTTCATTCACTGGACCACATTTGGCACAAACACCCAATGCGCCCAAATTTGAATACTGGTGGGGTTGTGGGGAAGGATTGATTTTGTCATTTGGGAGTTGTAGTTGCGAGGATTTATAGTTCACCTACAATCAAGGAGCATTCTGAACTTTACCAACGATGGAACTGAACCAAACCTGGTACACAGAACTCCCACAACCAACAGAAAATATTGGGTTTGGTGGGCATTGACCTTGAGTTTTGGAGTTGTAGTTCACCTACATCCAGAGAGCACCGTGGACTCAAATAATGATGAGATCTGGACCAAACTTGGCATGAATACTCAATATGCCCAAATCTGAACACTGCAGGAGTTTGGGGAAAATAGACCTTGACATTTGGGAGTTGTAGTTGTTGGGATTTATAGTTCACCTACAATCAAAGAGCATTCTGAACCCCACCAACGATATAATTGGGCCAAACTTCCCACACAGAACCCCCATGACCAACAGAAAATACTGTGTTTTTTGATGGTCTTTGGTGACCCCTCTGACACCCCCTCGTGTCCTTCAGGGGTCCCGACCCACAGGTTGAGAAATTCTGCCTTAGAGCCAGGTGTTCACTTTTCTTCTGAAGCCAAGAGGGAGGGAGCTGCTCTAATATTACTGGGGACTGAGATCCAAAGCCGAGGGGCCACACTGAAAAGACCTTGTCTCTCGTCTCTCTGACCAGACACCTGTAAAAGAGGCGGGACTGAGAGCACGTCCTCCCCAGATGATTTTAATGTCCGAGATGGTTCATACTGTTTCATACTTTTTCTCTCCATTTCATTCTTTTATTTGCCCTTTTATTTGCCCCAAATATATCACAACCATTCAAACAACTTATTTCTGAAAACCCATCTATTATTTCTTAATGTCATCCTCCTATGAATATGCCTAGTAATTGTTTGTATTAGTAACAGAGCCAGGAATTCATTTCTGAGATAACAAGAAGGCATTTATTTCTTTGTTTCCTTAGACATTACTCATTAATTTGTCATTTCACTGTAAGTTTTTTCCTCATTAATCTCATCACCTATGTTCACTGCATGCTCCAAAGCAACCTTTAAAAAAGGAGAATATAATTGGCAAAGGGACAAGTGAGAATTTCCCTAAATCAGACCAAGCTCGAAATATATATATATAGTGTCAGGAGCGACTTGAGAAACTGCAAGTCCTTTCTGGTGTGAGAGAATTGGCCATCTGCAAAGACGTCGCCTAGGGGATACCCTGATGTTTGATGTTTTACCATCCTGTGGGAGGCTTCTCTCATGTCCCCGCATGGGGAGCTGGAGCTGACAGAGGGAGCTCATCGTGCTCTCCCCAGATTCGAACTTCTGACCTGCAATCGAACCTTCAATCCTGCCAGCACAAGGTTTTAACCCATTGTGCCACTCGATATTGATAAAATATCATAGAATGATTATAGAGTTGGTGTGGAGTATCTTGAGGTCAGCTAGTCCATCCCTTGCTTGAGATGAGGAATCCAGCTGATTGGTTGCTCTGTTATTTCTCATGGTGACTACATGGGGGAAAATGTATTCCCTTATGTTTGGATGCAATCGAGTGTGGATAAGGACATATTCCAGGGAAGTAATTGCGTCAGTCTGACTTTGTAGGAAAATTAGGAGGATGCTTTAGAAACAAAAGAGCTTTGCTTTGTGAAATTTGCATCTACTTCCTTAGAGGCACACAGTACTATGATAAGCCAGTTGTGTAATAAGCAGTTGAAAGATCGCAAGGATGTGAAAAGTGCAGACCAAGGTAATGACGGGTCAAGATGTAATGTAAACAGATCAGTCTTATTATGGTGACTAGGCTTGATCATAAGACAAATGCTCTTTGGATCAATACAGTCATTAGTGAGATGCATATTTCTTTATCCAGGTTCTTTTGCTTCCAACGTCCAGTGCCAACAGTACCATATTAACCTGACTTCGGATGGCTTTGATGGGAACGTTGCTTGGAAGTAATTTCGCTGGAGCCCAGGATTGACTCTTTCTGCAGCTGGATTAATTTTTCCTTTGGCTTGGATGTAATCTAATTGCCGACAATGGGGCCACTCCACAACCTCAAGGGAATGCTGTGTTTGCCGTGGGGTCTCCCCTGAAGCTTCTGCAAAGGGGTCTAATTTGCCATTTTCTTCTGCTGTGGACTATGAGGAGTGGATGATCTCTGCCCCAAGGTGGTCTCCCCAGGAGTAGGGGAGCCATGCCCTGCCAACGGCGGCCGTGGTCAACCAGCGACACGCCGAGAGAGGACCTCTTCTACCAAACATATTACAGCCTGAGCCAACAATACCCCCTGATCCTCCTCCTCCTGGTTATCGTCTTGGGCATCTGCGTGGCTCTTATCGTCACTTCTTTTGCCAGTGGGAGGGTAAGTATCGGAGGTTGGGAAGATACTTTGGGTCTCAATATGGAGAGAAAAGCAGTGTATATATAAATCTATAGCTATAAAGTTGAAGTACACATGTATATACGTATGTTGGTTGGTTTATTGGCTTGTACCACAAAGGCTCCTTCATGATTTGATGGATCTGGACCAAACTTGGCACACATACCCCTCATTATACTACTTAAAACAATTGAGGAGTTTGAACTAAAAAGAAACAAACACAAACACCTCTTTCAGGCTCAAGTAAGAGGAAAAGGAAAGGAAACAAAGTATATTGGCTGGCTGATGCTAGGTGAAGCGGAGGTGGTGCAGCAAGTGAAACTGCTGAGCTGCTGAACTTGCTGCTCAAAAGGTCAACAGTTTGAATCTGGGGAGTGGGGTGAGCTCCTGCTGTTAGCTCCAGCTTGTGCCAACATAGCTGGAGCTAACAGCAGGAGCTCACCCCACTCCCCAGATTCAAATGCAAATGTGAGTAGATCAATAGGTACCACCTCTGCAGGAAGGTAACAACGCTCCATTTAGTCATGCTGGCCACATGACCTAGGAGGTGTCTACAGACAACTCTTCGGCTTAGAATGGGGATGAGCACCACCCGCCAGAGTTGGACACAACTAGACTTAATGTCAAGGGGAAACCTTTACTTAGGTGAAGTGGCCCTCTGTGATGTTACTGGGAAGCAAAGGGGATGAAGTGGTTTGGCGACTGCTAAGTGACGAGTGTATGACTGGAAGGGAAGAAGGGAGGAAAAAAAGAAAAACAGAAGGGAAAGAAAGGACATATGATGGAAGAAAGGGAGGGGGAAAGAAAAAGGGAATAAAGGAAGAGAAAGGAAAGGGGAAAGGTATGAGGAAGGAAGGGGAAGAAAGAGAAAGAAGGGAAGAGAAAGGGAAGGAAGAAAGAAAGGGAGAAGGAGGGAAAAAAGAGAGAAAAAAGGGAGAGAAAAGGAGAAGAAAGAAAGAAAGAAAGAAAGAAAGAAAGAAAGAAAGAAAGGTGTATGAAAGAAAGAAAAGGAGCATTGCCATGGAGACATTCTGAGGTAGGCTTTCTCCAAGCTGGGGAAGGGAGAAAATAGGTGGGCACTGGGCAGTGGTCCCAAGTTTGCAGATGACACCAAATTAGGAGAGATAGCTAATTCTCCAGAGGACAGGATCAGAATTCAAAACAACCTTAATAGATTAGAGAGTTTATTGGCCAAAACTAACAAAACAAATGTCAACAAGGACAAATGTAAGATACTCCACTTAGGCAGAAAAAAATGAAACGTGAAGATACAGAATGGGTGATACCTGGCTCAACAACAGTCCATGTGAAAAAGATCTTGGAGTCTTGGTGGAAAATAAGCTGAACATGAACAAACAATGTGATGCTGCAGCTAAAAAAGCCAATGGGATTTTGGGTGGCATCAAAAGGAGTGTAGTGTCTAGATTGAAGGAAGTCATGGTGCCTTTCTATTTTGCTTTGGTCAGACCTCACCTGGAATAACCCTGTGCCCAGTTCTGGGCACTACTATTTAAGAGTGATATTGACAAGCTGGAACGTGTTCAGAGGAGGGTGACTAAGATGATCAAAGATCTGAAGATCATGTCCTATGAGGAGTGGCTTCAAGAGCTGGGGATGTTTAACCTGCAGAAGAGAAGGCTGAGAACAGACATGATCACCATGTATAAATATTTAAAAGCCTGTCATAGGGAGAAGGAGCAGGCTTGTTTTCTTCTGCCCTGGAGACTAGGACTTGGAACAATAGATTCAAATTGCAGGAGAGGAAATTCAACTTGAACATTAGGAAGAACTTCCTGATTACGAGAGGTGTTCAATAGCAGGACTCTCTGCCTCGGAGTGTGGTGGAAGCTGGATGGCCTTCTGTTAGCGGTGCTCTGCTTGTGCTTTTCCTGCATGTCATGGGGTTGGACTAGATGGCCCATGTGGTTTCTTCCAATTCTATGATACCCAGAATAAGGCACGGGCAATCCATGTTTCTAAATGGTTCTAAAGTACTTACTAAACTAGGGGGCGCTGGTGCTTTGCTTCTAAAGTGTTGCTTAAGTTCTGGTGGTGAAAATTTCAGAACTCTAATAAAACTTTCAAAATTTCATAATTATTTTGTTATTTGCAATTTTTATGCCAGAGCCAATTACGAACTGCCATTTATAATGAAATTTTGAAAGTTAGAGTTCTGAAGTTTTCACCAAGGGAACTTTAGCAACATTGTAGAAGGAAAGCACCAGTGTTCCTAGTTTTGCAAGTACTTTAGAACCATTTAGAACCATGGATTGCAAACTTCAGCCCTTCCGTGTTTTGGACTTCAACTCCCACAATTCTTAACAGCCAGCAGGCTATTAGGAATTGTTGAGGTTGAAATCCAAAATACCTGGAGTGCCGCAGTTTGCCCATGCCTATTCTATACCAAGAGGGTATAAAGTTTGAAAAATTCATCTCGGAATGCATTGATAAATGCTCTTTGGAAAACAGGTTGAAAGTAACTGGAAATAGTTACTCTACACCAGGGATGGAAACGAGTGTAGATTTAGGCATCTCTCATTCTTTGGCAGATCCCACTGCACTGAGTCTGACAATGACTCCAAGTACATGTGGAAAAGATCTTGGAGTCCTCATGGACAACAAGTTAAACATGAGCCAACAATGTGATGCTTCAGCTAAAAAAGAGAATGGGATCTTGGCCTGCATAAATAGGAGTATAGTGTCTAGATCCAGGGAAGTCATGCTATCCCTCTATTCTGCCTTGGTTAGACCACACCTGGAATACTGTGTCCAATTCTGGGCAACACAATTGAAGGGAGATGTTGACAAGCTGGAATGTGTCCAGAGGAGGGCGACTAAAATGATCAAGGGTCTGGAGAACAAGCCCTATGAGGAGCAGCTTAAAGAGCTGGGCATGTTTAGCCTGCAGAAGCGAAAGCTGAGAGGAGACGTGATAGCCATGTATAAATATGTGAGGGGAAGTCATAGGGAGGAGGGAGCAGGCTTGTTTTCTGCTGCCCTGGAGACTAGGATACGGAGCAATGGCTTCAAACTACAGGAAAGGAGATTCCAGCTGAACATTAGGTAGAAATTCCTGACTGTGAGAACTGTTCAACAGTGGAACTCTCTACCTTTAAGTGTGGTGGAGGCTCCTTCTTTGGAGGCTTTTAAACAGAGGCTGGATGGCCATCTGTCCAGGGGTGCTTTGAATGCGATTTTCCTGCTTCTTGCTGGGGGTTGGAATGGATGGCCCACAAGGTCTCTACCGACTCAATGATTCTATGATTCTATGATTCTACAATGCATCCACATTGCACAATTATAGCAATCTGCAACTACTTTAATCACAGTGGCTTCACTCTTAAATCATGGGATTTGTAGTCAGGTGAGGGGCACCTGTAGGCCCTCCATTACAACCCTGTAATGGTGTGGTCAGCTTCTGATGGAGATTGTCTATAGAGCTATGCTGAATGACCTAGGGATTCATAGATAGGTGTTGTCTTTGGGATTCCCCCACTTTCATGGGGTTCGTCGTCCCAATGTATGTCACGGGCTGACTGCAAATTTTATTCAAATGGGCAAGATAAAACCAATTCACTCCTTCAGGAAAGGATTTAGCTCTCGCTAAGGCAAGTGCTGCAGACAAGAGGAATGATGCTCTTCCCTTTTCCTTCCACCTCCCCAGGAATTCTCCTCCAACCTGGACTTCCTGGTGACCTTATTTGTCGCCCTTGTGGTCTTCATTCTCATCCTGGTCCTTGTGTGCATTGAAAACCTCTTCCAGCGATGTACCCGGATCTTCTCGGCCATCATTTGGACCTGCCTGATCACCATGGGCTACGTCTTTGTCTTCACAGGCGGGGAGGTTAGAGCCTGGGACCAGGTGAGATGCTGGAACTGT